AAAAAATATATATTTCTTTTAGCCTCTGAAGAAGGTTTGTTTTCAAACCGAAATATTGGGCAGTTTGTTTAAATATATATATATTTTTTGTTTTATTCTTTTGTTTACTTCTTCATCGCCTTGCCGTAAGGATCAGTCTGCCTTTTCATATTTTTCTACCAGATTATTTCACCCTGCATTGCACGAGCCGGGCGAAGGGAGAAATCTCGAGGACGCGCATTCCCCTCGCGCGGCCTATAAAAAAAGTAACAACCGGTGTCAGGAGCCGACTAATCGGCTCCTGCCAGTGCCTACTACGCAAGCCGCGAGGACAAGCTCTCTGTAAAGTATTGAACTAGAGAATGCCCTAATATGACGGCTGCTGCGAGCAGAGCGAGTTTACAATCTCGTCGCGCTTGAAGCGCGTAAGTATCACGTGCGCCGAACACGGTCTTACCGGCATGCAAACTCAGTAGGCCCATTTATATCTGTTATTTCCTGTTGGGCTCCGCATCCAGTGTGAACACGGGACCTACGCAACTTTGGCTACCCTTCCTTACTAATAGCAACCCCATTTAAATTCCATCAGGTTGCTTTTTTAAAACCAAGGAACTGCGTTTGAATTTACTCCAACCAAAAGGAGATTGAGTATATCTCAGCTTCCAATATTAGAGCGGGTGTCGAAAACCACCTTCCGCAGTTACGAAATTTACTCTATTTGTCTCCCGCCGTCCCATCGCTAACATTTTACGGGCGTCCTCACCCGTGCTTCGTGAGGTTCTGCGATACACGTATTTCTAAACTAGTAACTTTCACAGTTTTATGAAACGCTTGTCAAGGCAAAACCACAACGATAAACCAGGGGGTCAGATGCGGATCTTTAGTAGACCTGCATCGGTAAAATCTTCAATACCACAAAACAAGAAAGAAATCAAAAATAAAATGTATTTTACTTTTGCTTTCTTACTTTATTTTTTCCATCACTCTTCTGCCGTAAGGATCAGTTCACTGTTTTAATTTTCAAATTTGGTATCTTTATGAACTCGCCCGGACGGATTCAAACTGTTAGAAAATGTTACTTCTAGGTGTTTTGAATTTAATTCCTTGATAATCAAAATAGTTGCGTTTTAGTATTTTGTTTGTTCGTTTGTTTGTTTTTTTCGTTTCAGTCAACCAACAAGCGTATGTATAGCCACTGACTGCGCTTCAACGAACAAGCAACTTCAAACTATTGGCAAAATAAATGAAGCAGAATATGGGAAATGTTACTTGTATTTCCATTTGTTCTATTAAGTTACAAGTACAATTTTGAGGGTGTGCAAGCCTCGCCAAGAATTTTTCCTCGGCTGCACTTTCTTTAGGCTTAAGGCGCTTTCTGTTTGTCAGAACTGACCGGCAGGACCATTGCCGGACCAGTCAGTTAGCAAATGAAATCGGCTTTTTCCAAAGCTTTTTTTTTGAAAAACCATCTTTTATAGGATTTGACTGATCTGGTTGGATAGTTTTCATTAAAAGTGAAATTTTCATCACGACGGGAATAGCCTGGCCGGTCAGTTCTGACACGTGAAAAGTACCCTCAGTTTCAGCCGAGGGTGTCTCATTGCGTCCGCGGTTCTCCACTCGCGGGTGAGGAGTACCTGCTACTGAAATCTATGCGAACTTAAGCAAGTCCGCATTGTGACGTTCTGCCGTCTTTTATGCCTTGAGAAGTACGAAAAGAACAAGTAAAAACCAACCATGTAAAAAATAAGTCTAAGAAGAAAACGCGATCAACGAAACAACAACGAGAAAAAACAATGCAATATGAGCCTTGGAGATTCTGTCGGTATCTTTAAGCAGTATCCCGAGGAGCTGGGACGGACTACAGTTTCTTTCCTATTTGCCGGGCCATGGTTAGTAGAGGATTCCCCTCTACGAACTACGGCTGAGCGAGACAAAGCAACGGCGCGAGGCGGATAAACAGAGCCGGGGTTTCGCTTTTCCATTTCATCTTCATCCTACGTCAAGTTGAAGTCGAACGGCTGAAATTTCTTTCTAAACTCAGCGGCCATCTTCTTTTCTTCCTCCAAGGAAACCTTACAGGCTTTCCAGTCCACTCTGTCGGGCATATTGAGAAGAGAAGGACTGGCCACAACTTCCCTACAAAAGTTGATAGATCAGAGAGATTATTTAAGCATCACGATTTTGGCCACTAGATTATTTTCCCAGCCAATTTGAACGCTTGTCGTTTGCCGTTTACAACGTGAAGAAAGCACTCTCATTCAAACGATGACGCGAAAGCGTCAGTATTCTATCGAAAATAAGCAAACCACTACAAGTATGTGCTGAACAAGAATGCTGTATCATGACAGACTAGAAACAATAGACAACTCCCAAAGCACAAACTCAGCCAAAACGCTAAAAATCTTCAATGTTTACTCAAGTTTGGGCTTATAGAAGATAATGTCACAGTTTTTCAATGACCATGAAATTCAGAATCCGGATAATTAGTTAATCAATTGTGGCCCTGAAAAACTTTGAAGGAAAAAAAACTACGAATTTTTAAGAAAATGCTTTTTTCGTGAGAAGGACTCTTCAACGCTGACAAACGTCAACAAATAGCCAAAAACTATAATTTCTATATGTTTGCTTTGCTCGAAATCGCGCCCATTTACAAGGCCCTAAAGCGTTTTACTGACTTGCAAGGACCCATCTGTTATAACGATGCCCAAAATAAAGGGATGAATCTCAAAGTTTATTAGATATAATCGTGTAAAGTTTGCTTATCATTTACCCATAAATTATGACCTAAATTTGGAAACCGCTGAATTTCTCGAATTGGGTCTTTGCGATCTTGGTGAAACTCTGTTCAGCACAAGGCACTAATGCGCACTATGTGTAGCCGAGAGATTTTTACGAAAAAATGCTGGCAACAGCAGATTTTCGACTCAGACCTCAAAGGGGCGTGGTATCATAACCACGTGACATTTACTCCGATCGCCAAAAAATTTATGTTATATCGTAGATTGATCTATATGTTATCCATTCTATGTCTTAGACTTACGATAAAAGTAAAGGTGGGGATACCAGAGAGCTTCAAAGTAGGATGGTACCCTCCCAAAAAAACTGGGTCGAGTCACCTTAAGTCAACCAAAAGTAAGAAAATATGGTACATTTCTGCCAGTACAAATAACATAATAGCTAAATGATATTGAAATGTAAACCTAGGCAGTTGCATGTATTCCATGTCTACTAAAAACGTTCCATATTTGTAGTTACATTAAAAGGTAGGTGACGCTTAGTACCTTCCAAACTGTAAAGGCATTTTGTGTGTCACGCGATGAAGTAACCGTTCACCGTTATCGAACTCTGCCACAAAGTACGGTGCTCCTACTGGTACAAACTGCCAAGAAAAGACACTGACATTATTCTGTATTTTCTCACTTTCGCTTTGAACTTGGATATTCTTCTTCTGAGGAATTCAACTCCGGGAGATGACGCCTATACTTGACCAACTGAGTTGGGCTAATCGCGTTGAGGCTTCAGAGAATGCTATTGACGTCACTTGGTAGGAGACTCGTTCTGTCACACGACACCGGACGAATTTTCGACCGGTTGAAAACTCGTGCGTTTAGGTGTTCCATTCCGTTGACATTGAACAACCTTAGAGCGATTTTCGTATGACCTTGAAAACTGGTTTCCGTAACTGTTCGTTATTTGTTTTACCTAACCAGCCAGTAGATGAAAAGATCAAAACATGGACTCTTCGTTTTCCCGCCAAAGAAAACCCTAATATGGAGAACGCATTATTCGATTGGCCAATCGTGTTGCAGTATGACTTCAAACCGAAGTATCGGTTGATTTCTAGAAAGTTCTCAGGCATGAAGTTTTTTCACCCGAGCGTCCGCTTAACCAACCAAAAGCCACGCGCGTTTGTATCCGTTCGATAAACCAATCAAATCGCTCTATTTCCGTTCGTTTGTTGTTTCTGTTTTGTTCGCGCGTTTTCATTTCAAGGTCACATGAAAATCGCTCTAACCGTACGTCAATTTAGACGCCTAGCCGTTCAAAGTTCCGTGTGAACAGAGCGAAAATATTGAATGATCCCGTGCGAACGAAGTGTCCGGTCAAATTCTTCAGCCGGTAGAAAATTCGTCCGGAGCCGTGTGAATGTTACCTGAAATTCCTTAATTTGCAACAACACTCTACACAAATTCCAAAGGTGAAGATGAGTGAGAACGGTAGAATTTGCTCATTACCATTAGGTTTGTCAAGATAGACGTTATGACTCTGCCTCTTTTACAGTGGAACTTAGATATAACGAAGAGCCAATGGACTGGTAAAATTTGTTCGCTATATCGAGGTTTTTTTTATATCGAGGTTCTTTTTCATATATTTTACTATTACTGGGGTAAAGAAAATCGTTCTTTATACCGATGAATTCGAAACCGGTCGAAATTTTAAACAGTTCCTAACAGAATTAGGGCAAAAATAATCAGTCACTGGTCAAAGTTTTGATACAAGTAATGACTAGAATTGATGTAAGAAGAAAAAATATATATATCTCCAAGACAAAAGACCTGTTTTAGCTCTGTGTTGGCTGGGACATCTCTAATGGGTAGAGAATTTTGATCTCCGTGCTCTTTGAAGATGTCCTTTAACTCGTCCACCTCTGTTTGGGGCACAGGTACAACCTTCGGGAAATAATTAAGAAGAATAGTCTTAGGGCCTGTTTATATGGAGTTGGGGGACCCCAGGTAGGTGAGGTAACCCGCTTAGGTGGGGTAACCCGCCTGTCCATATAATCTCTCATTTTAATTTCATCACGTTTACATGATAGGTGGGGTGACCCGCTGCTGATTACCTCACCCATCTGGGGTACCCCATCTCCACGTAAACTGAGGCCCTTAAAATGATAAATCATTACTTTTAAAATTTTAAAGATAAGAGAAAGACAAAACGCCCATTCCCGACAGACAGAGTGATTTTCACAATTCAAATTTAGGACAAACTAGGGCAGTTTTGTTCCGCTTATCTTTCACATTGGATCTCTAACGCATGACCTTAACACTAAAACTGGATCATTACTGAAACGAACACACCTGAAAACTTTCGTCGCATTGTTATTTTTATCCTGCGGAGCTTTTCCCAAGCGAAACAATTACGAAGGTATTTTTGAACTACATGTAGATTTATTTAAATGTTGCAAAACTCTTTACTGTAACCGTTGTTCTAATTTTTCATTTTGCAGTCTAAGATATATGGCATTTTGCAACGTACCTGCAGTTGAAGATGCTGTGTGTAAAAATTCCTCTCGAAAATTACACAGGACTTTCCTTCACTGTGAAACAATCTACGAAGAGCTCTCTTATATCTGCTGGAAGTTAAAGAAAAATAATACGCAAGTGTCGCATCCTAAAGTATAATGTTCTGAAAAATGAAAAAAATAAATAAATAATTAAAATAAAATAATGATGATGACGATGATGATCATGATTATGACGATGATGATGAAGATGAAGATGATGATGGTGATGACAGAAAAAAGGCGGCAGTCTGAAAATTCCTCAACGAAAAAATAATTCACTGAAAAAAAAATAGAAAGAAAAAACTAGAAAAACTAACTAATAGAAAGGATATTTTTCAATTTCCATCAGAACATCCTGAAATACATCAAGAATGCAACACGTTCACTATACGTATACAGAACGTAAACAAAACAAAACAAACAAAAAAACACCAAAAAAAGAAGGGAAGAAAGAGAATGAAAGTTGAAAAAAAGAGCTTCGTACCTCAGACAGTTTAACTGTTGACTCGAAATGGCCGATGGGACAGATTAATACGTGATCAGGCACCAGTCCTCCCTTGGCCAAGGCCACATAAGACTATCGGAAAACAGAGCAGTTAGTGCTTAGCATTTTCTAATTTTCTTCTTTGATGTATCCATCGAGCACAATGAAACTTAATCAGATTGAATGATACGTGTAATAATAATTTATTAATACATGTGGTAAATTACACTGAGAGACCGACTAAACTAGTTGTAGTCAGACCAGTTGCTGACCGATTGATGACTGTCTGAGAGACGTTCCGTCTGACTGACAACATGTGCCTGTCAGACTTGCTTGTTGACCAAGGACAATTAATAAGCTGATTAGCACTTACATCATCTCCTACACTGACAACCAAATGCTTTTCAACCTGCGGACTTCCCAAACAGAACCAACACGAACCTTTCAAAGGTGCTGAAAACAAAAGCATAATGTTATTTAGTACATTAGTTAAAATTTTCTGACTCAGAACTTCAAAGGTAATGATGTATATAAGAGTGCATGCACTTACGGGGTCCTTTTCTTTGTTTCTTGGGTCCACCAACTTCGCCAGCTTCATAGGTGAGGTTTGAAATAAAAGGATGTCAGTCAAAGCTTTTTAACAACAACAGGAAACGCATACAGTGAAACTTCTACTAGCAACCAACTCTCTACAACAGCCGTATCTGTTACGTGTCAATAGTGACCAACATCAATTTTCTCCTAACAATATCCATCTATTGTCAAGAGATTAGGTTATGAGAATTAATAAAATGATAACCTAAGAGAAAATGCCCTGATCATTTATCAAATTCTCACTACTCATTTTTTAAGGAAATGTAATGAAAACAGTTTGGAGAATTTGTATGTGGATATTGAAACTTAAAGGGTTACGTCTGGTCAGTGTTGGCTCATTTCTTGAAAAGTGGCTCAGACGATTGAGCCTACCATCTGTCTACAATGGCCAATAATTATTTTTTAACCCACTCAGATACATTATTTACATTAAACAATTCTGTCCTTTAGGTTGCAGTTTTGGAGAGTTTTGGCTACCTTCAAACAAATACAGTCATGCTCTCTTGTCACACAACAATTCTGTGGTCATGTGTCCGGTTTGTGACGAGACTGATGATGACTGAGCAATTCAGCTGAAATGCAGTTTGTACACATTTCGCTACAATGTATTATGTTCCAGTCAAATCCTTCTGGATCACTGTTAAATTCTCTTTTGATCCTTTGTTACCTAACGCAATACTGAACTAGAAACACCAAGTCACTTTGATAAAGCAAACAACACTTCTTGTGTGCTACAGGTAGAAGTGGGACTGCATGTTAGCCCTTGATCAGAGCTGTATGCTTTAGCCTCATTTTAGTTAAGAAACTGAAATGACTCCTCCAAGGAGACAATTAATTCTGCTGAGAGAATAGTTTTACTGCAATACTGATACTGTACCATGATCACCTTGTCTTTTACCCCTAGGTCCCTGTGATCTTGTAGCATTTTGCATGTCAAAGAAAAAGTTCTGAGTTGAAGCAGCATCCTAGTACAAGAATCAGAGCAACAAAATGTTAATATCAAGTAAACATTGCTGAATGAGCTACGAAATTTGTGTATCTATCTTTTTTTTTTATCAGTAGGTTGGATATGATGGACAGTAAAGTGTAGTCTTGAATATAGGACTGTTGTTGACAGTCACTGACGTTTTGACAACCTGTCCAGTAGTCATCTTCAGAGGCAAAATGAGTTGTATCACATCAGTTGATGGTATTTAACTCTGTATTGACCTGATTGGTCAAAGTCAACGTTATTGGTCATTTGTCAGTTAAGCCAGATGATGTTATTGGCTATGAATGTCATTGGTGCGTTCCAGTTTGTCTTTTGCCACAGTAAACAATAAACAGCAATTTAAAAATCGTTGTTTATTGTTAGTCAAGTGTTGGTTGTTCTGTCATTTGTTATCAGTTTTGCTTTCCAAGAGTCTGTCAAAAGTCATTAATTTAGTACAGGCTTGTATCTGTTTACTATGATTAAGTAGCATTTGTTCTAAGTTAGTAAACTAGCTTGAAAAAGGCAATACTTAAAAAAAAGAAAACTACCACATCCCTGGCCAAATTCCTGTCAGCATCTTACCTGCTGCATTTCTGATTTTGTCATGCTCACATCATTTCCTCCCAGCACTTTCTTGTAAGGAAACTCAGTAACATCTGGAGGTTGTTTGACAAGTTCATCCTTGTCCATGGAAACCATGGGTACAATATTGAATGCATACATGTACTGCAGCCATAAAATATCAATATTATAATTAAAAAGTATGTAGAGGATATCACATTGTCATGCAGAGATATAAAATTTCCCTTCTCCCGCTGAAAACTACGGGAAATTTGTATCTCCAAGTGGCTATATATGTAATGTTCTAATTTTATTATATAAACACCAAAGGCATACCAAACCATTTCACTTTAGTATTTTTTTGTGAAAGGTGCAATTTAACATGTAACCATGGCAACAGTGACCTTTCCACATGTGAAAATAACATGTAATTTTCAGGTGTGAAGATATCATGTTTTGTCGCGTGAAAGCTCACCTGGTATTTCATTAGTGTTTATATAATAAATATTGTTATTTTTAAATAGTCTTGTACAATGTACACCATCCTCATTAAAACATCATCAGCAACCTGTTAGCTCTTACACTAAACTGTGAGAATACATTGTGTGCACCATTAGTTCAAAGTGATACATGTATCTAACAGAGGCCAAAAGGGAAGGAGTTGACAAACTATCAAAATGTATGTACATGTATGAACTAAGCTGGAATTAGTTCATTGAGGAATTAAAGAAGGGGTGGGAATTATAACACTCAAACAACTTGTCTTCTGCAATGGAGAAACATGAAAAAACATAATTCTTGATCACCAAAAAGAACCCAATATCTGTTATTACAGGGAGCATTGTCTACAATGAACAGAGCATCATTACCTTTTTCTTGGTTGTATTTCCAACATGAGCAAGGGAAATAAATCTTGTTACATGTTGTGCTGTCTCTCGAAGGACTTGATGGTTCCTGTCAAAAGGAGAATGAGAATATAATGAGAATATAATTATGTAAACTGTTGAAATTATATTGATCATAACTTTAAAAAATATTATTACTGAACATTATATAACTATAATACTAAAGACTATAAATACAATAATCATAATAAATTATAATTAACCCTTTAAGCCCCAATATACATGTACAAATTCTCCAAACTGATCTCTATACATTTCCTTAAAGAATGAGTTGAGAGAATTTGATAAAAGATCAAAGCATTTTCTCTTAGGTGATCATTTTATTAATTCTCATAACCTAATCTCTTGACATTGTATGGATATTGTTAGGAGAAAATTTATGTTGGTCACTATTGGGACTTAAAGGGCTAAACAGAATTTCTTTGAGTGAGCTCTTTATCTTCAGAAACTTCTGATTGTGAAGGAACAAATAATACTGTTAAGACTTATGGGACTTTCATTTCATCATTATTTTGCGATTTCACCTTTATTTTGTATTCCATAAATTCCATATTTTAGAGATCTATGTTTGTTGACCATGTAATAATCAAACAACCTGCTCTGGTTAGTAGGCTTACAACTAGACAGATTATTATTATAAAAATAATTGAAGGTTTTAGGACTGACAACATGCTTCAGGAAAAATAGAATAAAACAATAAATAATTTATTATTAGTATCATTACTCATTCGAAATATTTCCCCAATTCTGATTCGCTAAAAGCACACGCATAACTCACCATGACCAGTTTCTGATGACCAAATTTGGAAAAATTTTGTGTTTAACGAGCAAATGACGTCAAAAATGCAGCATTCGTGCAGGTTAAGGCACCTAAACCGAGAAGACCTGGGGATAAGGTTGAGTTGTTTTGGTTGTGAACTTGAAAAATGGCGGACTTTTCACTCGTTTCAAGGGTAACAACTAGGCGAAAAAATAACTAAAAACATGGCAAGAACAGCAAGAAGACAACTCAAACGGCAACATCTGCTATTTGGAGAATATTTGCAGAGCTGGACAAACCTAAAATGTGCACTATCGAAGATAAACTTAACATTGATGGATCGATGGAGGTAAGCATGTTTTAGCCATGTTTTTAAACTAGGAATTATTTTGACTGAATAATAAAACAATTATTGAATTTGGCTTTCGTATCATATGAAGAATTCTTCATATGATACTCAGCCTCATTCATTAATTGTTAATGATTTACTCCTCACCTATAGGGTGGTCGTTCGTAATGAACCCCTTCATGACCAGCAAAATGATACCTTGGTTTCATGTGTTCTGCCAGATGAGACACTAACACTGACCCGCAATTGTCACAGTCGATACCATCCTTAAGAAAAAGGGAAACAACAGACCAACTAAATACAAAAGTAAAACATCTAAGTATGTTACTACAGCACAGAATTTCACCCAAGTAAGTTGAGTGTCACATGGGCATAGAAGAGTACCCATGGGGCTCTGTGAGTGCAATTTATGAGTAACAATTACCCTGTAAACTGTACATGTACATGTAGGTTGATTATCGTCTTATGAAATTTGAGTACTAACAAGAAGTTCTCACATCTTTTAAAATAATTTGTTTGTTGTGTTCAACTGGTTTTGGCTCACTACTGAAGAGGAGAGCTAAGGAATACATGTACTTTTATTTTGTTTAATAATTCTTTAATAAATAAATTTATTCTTTAAATTACAACATTACACTAGGTGAAATACATGTATTATTACTTCTCCTGAGCCTGTGGACTTGAAGAACAATATCATCATCATCATAAATTAAATCATTTGCAATGTACGGCAATAATTTAAAATAAAACTCTCATTCCCACTTTTGCTACATTCAAATTCAATTAGTTTAACTTAAACTTTAAGATACTAAACTAAGCTGTTAAAAAAATTCAGGAGCTTCTGTACTGGCAGATGTTCTTTGATCAAGACACTTACAGGTTTATTAGCAAACTGTGAAACACCTTTAGGCCAGCATGAGGTCATGAGGATGTCAAGACCCTTAAAACTTTCCTCATTACATTGATACTCCAATGCTTCAATATCACTCTGTGTAAAATGACACCCTTCCTAAAAACAAATACAGTGTACAGAACATCACTAATCTCAGTCAACAAAATATAATTAATTTGATGCTTAAATTGCTTTGAGGAAGCAACCAGACAACTGATTTACAAATGGCCACTGGAAGTGGAGGCGAGCTATTATGAGCTATTATAAATTATAAGTAATGGTAATACAGTAGGACTGAGTTGAGTACAACTTTTTTAATATAGAAAGTTATCGGGCACGTAATTTCAAAATGGCCAACCCTGAAAAAACAATATTTTTTTCTTGCTGTATATGTTGATTGTATATTACAGTCAAAATAAAATTCAGGTTAAAATTTTTTAAAAAAGGTTGATTCTAATTCTCAATTTCCTTTGTCTCCTAAGCCCTAATTCAATTAGGAAATTAGGAAATTGAGAAACGACCATGGTTAAATAATTTTAACTTGAATTAAATTTGGACCAGTAACATATGTATACATGTAACAATACACCGCACACAGTTGCGTGCAATAGGTGACCGCTTGCTAACACTTATTTTAATTCATTAAAAAATGGAACTTGTAAAAAAATGTACATTGTGTAGAAGTGCTTATTCATGGGCTAAATAACAAATCACGTTTAATCACGAGTGCAAGATCCCTTGGGAAATCAATTTGTTTCCTTTTGCTCCACATTGGGAAACATCAAATTTCTCAGATATCAAGCAAAATTAACTGTCTTGTTCAATATAATTACCATATGTGAAATTAATTCCTTTTTAGTTTTAACCAATTAACTATAATACTATTGGCAATAATTTTTAAAGATACACATGACATTATTTCAGTGACATTGGCTTTAGAATGCAATGGTACAGTAATAAATTGATTGTTCTAATTAATTCTGTACCTCAGGAGCCTCAGTTTTTTCGACTCCACTCAAGTATGCTATCTGCAATCCAGACTGGGTCTTTAGAATTCCTTTCCTACCTATGGAGAACAGTCATAAAGTATACACCACTATTAAAGGTTTTTGGGTCTACTCTCCCCTTGGTTTATTTTCTGCTCCAACTTTTTTACCTGCACATGATGGAAATGTTATGACAATTTGTTATCATGGAAATGATTGTCCTAAGCCTGCTAACTAATGTGACCTGCAGATTTGAGAAGTCAATTTTACACTATAACAGTGAATGTGAACATACTACTTATTCACCAACTCAGAAGTTCAGATTTGTTTTTGATCCTTGGGTGTATATGTGACCTCTAACTTCTTGTACTTTAATAAGCTTTTCCACTTTGTATTGTTAGACTGGTTCCTTATGGAGAACTGATACCATTGTCTTTGTTAAATTAAATAAGCCCTCTCTCAAATACCGCCTCCCCCCGCCCCTCAAAGGTGTTTGATTTAAATAAGCCCTCTCCGGGGGTCTTAATAGAGGATTTACAGTACTTACGGTCACAAATCTTGTACACCCTTTTCATTCAATTTAACAAATTGTATGTGGCGCTAGAGTCAAGATAGAAATGATTAAAATTTATGTCCTGCACAGCATTGCCACCAATAGCCCATAATTATAACAGGCTGTAAGTGCTGTACTGTACAGTTGCATTGTTACCTAGATATGTGACATTTTCACACATTTCTCCCCCACTGTCCAAGGAAACTGATGCAAAGTAGTTCACTTCCTCCTTTTCTGTTGGCCCAAGGATGTAAGTGGGAATCGGGACTGAAAGACAGAAATATACATCTAAGGAAGCATAGGACTACGTGTAGGTATGGAAGGGGAGGAGGAGAATCATCCCCTTCCACTGGAGGAGTCATAGGACCTACCGAGTAAAATTATTTTAGGGGATTGGAAGAAAAAAAAAAGCATTTCAGTGCATTTTGAGTGACTACGAAAAGATCGTTAGCCACAGAGGATAACACCTTTTTCCCAAGTTTGCCTTTACATTTATTTTCTGTAAATCATCTGTTACCCAAGCTTCCAGAGAACCCTGGAGACTACGTAAGCGCATTATGAGAAAAATGTTTAAAACCTGCTAAAGGATTATACTGTCATACATGTACATGTGCATGTACGTCAAAGTGCATAATGATTGCAAGACCATCAGAGAGTAGTCCTGGGTGAAACAATAAATAAATAATAAATAAATAAATAAATAAGTGAGATTTTGGTCAGGATGCAAAGGTGATTGGCTTTTTAAACTTGCATTACTGTGATCTGCTTGAAAGATTGCAAGTGGTACATGCACAGGTAAGTGTTAAGTATACAAAATATATTGCACCTGCAACACTTCCAGAAGAGTATGCTTCCCATTCTTTCTTAGACTCTTCATTTGTTCCAAAGAAACTTCCAACACACAAAAGCATCTGAATGATGAAAAACACACTGTCTTACATAGAGACCTACAAAATTTTAGGTTCTTAAGACCAACTGAAAATAAACACAATGTTTCTGGGCCCTGCACGCTTAATTTTTCAAGACCGCCTGTCTTTATTAATCATTTGTTATTGGAAAAGTTGGAACAAACAAAAACCAACAAGCATTACTTTAAAAACATATTTAAAACTACACAATCCTGCGTAACAAGCATTCCTTTTCATAAAATGAAGCATTTTATTAAATACATGTATCAAAATAAACCAAATTTATGTTTCATTTACCTCATGTACAAGTAGTAGTATTAATATTTCATCAACGAACTCCAATGTATGTGTTGTAGTTAATTTTTCATCTCAGGTAATTTTTATTTTTATTTTGTTTCAACTTCATTAGCATACGTTACCATACCCAAAAACAAAAGGAAAACAAACACTATCTGACATAAAAATTTAACTTCGACATATCCCTGGGGAGGGTATTTGTAAAGAAAGCATTCGATTGGCAATGATAAAAAAAGGCAGAAGAAACAGAGAGAAAAAAAAAGCACCCGCCTGCCTGCCCGCATTTTTTTTTTAAGAAATCCAGATTAGAAACCTTTTTTTCTAATAACACGATTTCACTTAATCTGCACAGTGCATGTGGTAACATCAAGATATTTATTAAGTGGTAAATGTACACTATCAAGGATTAAAATTATGACGCATGAATTTTTCTTCTCTCTCTTGCTTTACCTCAAAATCTTTGTTTTTCTTCAAAACATTCCTAACCCTTCCGTACAGCACATTGAACTTCCCACAGACATCTCCACACACAAGGCTGTAGACGAAAAAAAAGGATAAATTAGGGACGTGTACAAAACATGGATCCCTGGTCCATGGACCACCCCTATGGACCTGGTCCAAGGACCCCTTCAGGGTCCATGGACTACTCCCGTGGACCACCCCTAATTCTTACCAGAGGTCTAAACAAATTTCAGGAACCGTAAATGGAGGAAACTGTGGTCAGTTTTTATTGGCGAACTTACAGGACAGGAACGAAGAAGGCAAACCTTGTGTGCCAAGAGTGACAATAATTTTGTTTGAAATAAATTTTCGCCAAACTTCACTTTCCTTTAAACAGATCTTTTTTAAAAGACCAGAAAACATTAATGTTAAGTGAAGATCATGAGTAATAGCAATTTCACAATTGTCACTCATCATAAGCGTTTAGCCGTACTCTTCTTCCTGCCGTCCTGTTGTGTAAACTCAATATCATCAGGGTTATGGGCTCCTCATATTTTACACTTCTTCAATTTTTTTTCAATTCCATACTAATGTAATGGATTTGTTTTAGTCTGGTTAAGGAGTCATAAATCATATTTTAAGGGAACAAGAGGAGCACTGACCAATAAAGGGCTATGAGGGAAGGGAAGTCTGGGGTAGGTATTCAATCATCATGCATTACCTCTTCACCTCTGGTCTCCTACCTAGCGTTTTTGGGTCGATCTTCATGCAACGTGACGCCACACAAAAAAAGCTGCATTTCGATGAATACTGCCTCTCTACCACCCTCCTCATGTCCAATTCAAAGATCTTGAAATATTGTTTCTCCTTCCAAATTAAACCGAACCCATTTATGGAATTCAGGAAAAATTTGAGCAAGTGTATCATATGAGAAGCCTTTGATCCTGGTAATATAAAATGACACAATTTTCGTCCATTTAAGGTCCTAAAATTCGTTTAGACCTCAGGTAAAAAATCGTCTTCAAAAATTTGGGGTGATCCACGGGGTTAGTCTGTGGACCGGGTCCACAGAGGTCCGGGCTCCATGGACTTGATCCACAGAGATGGTCCATGGACCGGGGGTCCATGTTTTTTATACTTCCCTCAATGACAAAAGTTTAAGGACGGTGCTATAGAGTACTAAAGTGATGACGTCATAAAAACGAAATTTCTGAAATTATGGGATTTGTCAGGATATTCTGAAAGAACAATGTCCAAGAGGCCTACTTACCAAAAATGAGCATTTCGGGGCAAATTGTCTTGGGACAATTTGCCCAGAAATGCTCATTTTTGGCAAATAGGCCTCTTGGGCATTGTTCTTTCAGAATATCCTGACAAATCCCATAATTTCAGAAATTTCATTTTTATGACGTCACACTTTAGTACTCTATAGGGATTGATCCCAACGACGTTCTGTCGATGGCGGACCACTATAAGGTTTGGATCCCTTAATCAAAATACAAGCCTGATTTTTCGTTAAATAAACCTCGTAGGCTTGTACAACAGTATGCAACTGTCAAATGTCTCCTTTCTACTCACATTTTAAGAGGCGTTTCCATTATGACTTTGGAAGCAACAATCAGTTTTGAAACTTCCACGGCATTTACTTTTCATTTTGCCGCCATCTTGAATTTCGGGGCCCTCGCTCTCATGTCAAGGACAGTAAGCATGCTGGGAGAAATTCATGAGACCACGTGGGTCGTTCTCTTTTCAGTGGCAGCCATGGCGGAACAGGTCGGTAACAGTGAGCAAAGTTTTCTTTTCGCTAGAATAGCGTCATTCTAGCGAGAAATAAATGAGTTCTTTGTGTAGAGACTGAGTAAATCTTCAAAGTTATTTTAAAGGAGTGAATATGTACATACATTTTTCCCTCTCTATATATTTCATTACAAAATACATTGTAGCAAGAGACAACCTAGCCGCGATTTCGGCATTTGTGCTGTTAGTTGATGGTATAATTGTGATCAAAGTCTTCTCTCGTCGCTTCTTTTTGGTGTGGATATGTTTTCGGTACTCTTAATTTCCCCATTTAAGAGTTTTCCTAAACGAACCCGTAACTTAGAACTCTTAAAACAAGTCGGTTTGTGAAGGAAGCCCAATGGCCGTTCGTACTTGATTTCCGATCCTGAAATATTGCTGTTTTCCATTCGGCAGTGAATAGTTTTATTCCGTGGCAGTTTCTATAACACCTACAGGATGATAGTCGACCAGAAAATTCAAATTAAAAAGTTCATATTCACTATATAAAGTCTGTTAAAAACCTACATGTTTTTATGGGATGTTTAGGGCCCACAAACAACCAAGCATTGCATACAATTTAGTGCATTGTACACAAAGATGTGGTTAACTGAACAACCTAGTCGGTGAAAAAAGAACGTGAAAAAATCAGGCTTGACTGGGATCCAAACCCTGACCTTTGGAATGACTAGACGTGATGCCCAGCCATTGAGCTAGTCAAGCCTACTGGAGAGTAGTTCAGTTGACTCACAAGTAGCTCTCTGTCTGGTTGTCTCTCTTTCTCTCTCTTAATATTTTCAGGGTTGTTTTCAAGCACTCAGGTTGTTCAGTTAGGGATCAGGTCCTCTTTCATATCTGCAGTATTTCGCATTCAAATAATGCATGTATGATGCATTTTTTTATTATTCTAAGGGGGGCTGTACATATTTTATTTAAAACAGGAATTGATAAAATATGTTGTAATTTTAAGCTACTCTGTAACTGTCACAAGTTTGTAAAAACTTTAATAGAGGTTCTTTCAGTTATTATCATTTTTAACAAAATATTTGACTCTACAGACAGAGAGAGCCTACCAAAAGCAGGCGCCAATTTTCCAAAACAAAAAGCGTGTCCTGGGACAGACAGGCAAAAGGAAGGAACTGCGATATGTGCGCAATGTTGGTCTAGGATTTAAAACCCCTAAAGAGGTACTTTTTCGTTGGTTGTCATTGTTTTGTCTGTTGATGCAGGTAGTGGATTGTTGGTTAGAATCAAAACAAGCCTTGTAAAATGGGCACTGCATCCTGTTATATCTCTTTTCAAGTAACACTATAAAATCATACAACTGTAGTGGCCCAAATACCTTGGTTGCTGTGGATCAAATTTTTCTTTGATTAGAAGTTTTTCCTTTAATTTTTGAGTAATCATTAAAGTGCAACATCACTACTTGTGACCATTGTGGTATCTTTATGCCAGAAAGAAAGTGGAATTTAGGCTTGCAGTTTTACATTATATGTTCTGATATCATTCCAGAAGACATGTTCTTCAGGCTTGCTCAAAGATGGGTCTTATTATCTTCTGCTAGATATTGCTAAGAGTCAATATTATTATTATTATTATTATTATTATTATTATTATTATTATTATTATTATTATTATTATTATTATTATTATTATTATTATTTTAATGAGTCCATAGTGTAGAACTTTTAGGTTCTTTTATTAACGCAGTTCAACCACCTATAGAATCACAGCGTGGGGACTTCTCTAAGGAAAAGAGGGCCAGACACGTCCACGTGTACTTCATGGAAGATAATTTACAATATGCAATTTCACAGTTGCTACACAGTTGCTAATATAGAACGTTAAAGAACCTTAAGTTATAATATTATTGTAACTTAAAGTTCTTTAGACATGTATATTCTTTGAAGCGTACATGTAGCACATACAGTGAATAGAGATCAGACCATGCTTCGAGAGGTTTGTTGCAAGAGGTTAAAAACAATACAAAAAGATAAAATCATGTGCCCCAAAAAGGGTTTGTGGTCACTTACGTTACAGGAAGTGGTCATTTGACAAGATGTTCAACTGGAAGAGAAAACTTTGGTGTTTTTGGATGAGTGGTTACCTATAAGAAGTGGTTGCATTTGGAGGTTCGATTGTAATTTATAGGAATCTTGTTCAGCCTGGCAGTAAGCTGCACTGACTTTTAAATACTGTCTATGTGAATTCCTTCAACAGGCCATTGAAGGAACATATATCGACAAGAAATGCCCCTTTACAGGAAACGTCAGCATTCGTGGACGTATTTTGACTGGCATTGTTACAAGCATGAAAATGAAACGCACAATTGTCATCCGGCGGGACTACTTACACCTTGTCAAGAAGTACAACAGATATGAGAAGCGGCATAAGAATCTTTCTGCCCATCTTTCACCTTGTTTCAGGTAGACTTCCTGTTTGTGTGCTAACACAGAAAGTAGAATTAATTATAAAGAATACAACAGAATTGTTATCATTAAAGTACTTTTGATTGAACTTACAGTTCATGAGATTATTGACACATAAATACATGTAAAAAACAGTGTATTACTTTCTGCTGTTGTTCAGGGATTTAGCTAAGGAAAAGCTAAGCAGGCTTTTTTATTAGTCAAGCCAGCTTTTTTACTCAATTGCACCTTCAAAGTTACCTTATGTCTTTGTTTTCAGAGCAATTTGAGCTTTTGGTCATAAGTTCTTTTCAGCTGGTGAAATTAGCGAGCTCTTTATACAGTAGCAGCATCTGTGGTGTTTAGAACTTGCATTCTAATTTATTTTTATTTACAGCGGTTACCACTAACACGCGTCCTCGGAGGGTTTTTTCTCCCTTTTGAAACTGAGTTTTCATGGACGTCAATTTAACTGTTTCCATGAATTTCTCATGCACTTTGACAGAGAAGGTTCCCTCATCACTGAATGAAAGGCAAAGACTTGCAATATTTCACATCATGACAGCATTTATAATTTTATTTATTTCATTAAGATGGAAGATTACATTGTTAAAACAACGAGGTCTCTGCGAGCTGAGTGAAATAGCCGAAATACTCTCTAACAGTTTTCAGGTTGTTCATTTAAGCTTACTTGATTGTATGAAAACACAGGAGCCATGGACGAATTGCCAAGGATCATAAATTCAAAGAAGCAAAAGATATCACACTGACAAGGGAAAAAAGTTACCTCTGAATGGAGGCTGTTTTCGAAAACTAATTTTGTAACCTGCAGAACTACTTATCATTCTTCATGTTATGGAGTAGAATTTAGAACCAGCAAGAACTCAGACGAGTTGCGAGCGTGTATTGAAATAGTTTATGTGGTTGTAACTTTCAGTGAGTAACTAAGTCAATTTGAGTTTCCCCCGACAAATAATCAACAAATTCGTACCCCTCATAATCTTGACATGAAGCGGTGTCAGATCCTGTAGCAAAATAGTGCAAAAATAGCTTAAATGCCCACATTTTCCTCCTTCGAGTGCTCGAGAAACCGGGAAAGAGTCTTCTCCAGGTTAACACATAAAACCCATGGTAACGGTTGATTGACGTCCACCAAACCACAGGTTTGAACCGAAAAAAAACCCTTTGAAGGCACGTGTTAGTGGTAACCGCTGTAAGTATAATGATAACATTATTTTTTACCATTATCATTGTTTTTGTTTGTTTGTTTGTTTGTTTGTTTTTTTATGAGTAGATTTTATGTTCAGGAAACCAAAATCTGAAAGTTACATTATTTGTACCTGCCGGGATGAACAAGTCAAATGAAAATAATAAGCCTGAACAAAGTCCAGGGCCCAGTTGTCCGAGGGCCGGTTAGCGCTTAACCTGGGGTTAACTTTAACCCTGGTTTCTTTTTCTTGTGTTCAAAAGCATTTTCTTGATAATTTTCTCTCTTATTTTTAGAGCTTCCAATTATCAACTTGTGGACAAAAAGAATTAAAACTGAATTGCTTTTTAAGCTTTCAAATCTTAATTCAAATCTCACACTAACCCTAGGTTATCTTAACCCAGCTTTGAACAACTCGGCCTTGTACTATATGACCACTCAAATGAAACAGTTTTGAAGAGTGTTCCCTTGCACGTGATTTTTTACATACATACATAACAATTGATTTCATTTTGGGTTCAAATTATTGTTAGCATAGAAGGTGCTAGTGAGTTCCTATATTTTTGTGTGGCATTAGTGAGCAGAGGTATCAAGGTCTCTGTTGGTCCATTTAAAAGGTGCTGGTGGGCAGTTGATTCTACTTGTATAAGACTCAACCCTCAGTAGCTTGTTGCAATTGACAAATAAAATGTGTGTGTCCTGGCTAAGCTTGGTGGAAAGATTAAAAAATAAAACAAAAAGTGCACACAAACACTAACACACCCCCCTTAGTAGGAACTTGAACTCAGTCAGGATCAGTGACATGACTGGGGACAGCTATGCCACCCCATCACACAAACATGCCCTTCGCTTTTGTCAAAAGTGTTGTAATGGTTGCAATCTGCATAAATAATGTTCCTTAGAAGTTGAGCAATAGGCTGGCAATTGTTCCTGATGGAAAATTTTTAAAGCTTCCCAAGTTTGGGCGGATATTTTTGTTTTCATGACACTGTTGCTGGGCAACGGCATCCACCTAATCTAGTTATTTACATCAAAGGCAACTTAAGATTTGACTGTGCTAAGCAGTCCATGCACAACCCCTGCAGAATTTGATTTTTGCAACTTAAGTAAACTTTGCTCCTTGAGTATTGTTTGGTTCAATATGTTACTTCAGATGTAAATGTATCGCGTCTTTCTACCTACTTGCTACTAGTCTTTACAAATCGTCAATCATTCAAAAGGTGGAAAACGCTATTCTTTCTGGCTGGTAATGTCATTGGTTTCCCAAAATTAATACTTATCAGCTGGATGTTGAGTTTTCTGGTGAATAGTACTATCCAACGTTTGAACAGCCAGGGCCAGGTGATTAAGTGAGCACACTTAATGCTGTGCTGTGCAATGTACATGTATGTAATTTTAGTGCAATTGGTGGTTGTGATTGGTGTGACTGTTTACTGCCTGTCTGTATGACTTGATGAAGACTTGCAGTAAGCATTTGAAATGTTAGCTTGCTAGCAAGCTCTCCATGCTTGCTAGTTCTCTTGCGGGTTGCTTTGCTTGCCATAGATGGAAAGCTTACCAGCAGGCTATGGAAATAGTAAAATGCTCATATATATGTACCCCTGAAGTGACTACATAGTACATTGTGAGAAAGTTCAATTATTATTCACTTAATTATTCCATCTTGCTGATGCTAAGCTTGTTGTTAAACTTTGAAAAAAATTTTTTATGATTTTAAACATCTGCAAAGCTCCTTACAATATGTTTTGTTCTTGTTTACTTGTGCTTAGGGATGTTGGTCTTGGTGATGTAGTGACTGTTGGTCAGTGCCGTCCTCTCAGTAAGACAGTGAGATTTAATGTACTGAAGGTCAGCAAGGGAAAAGGCAGCAAGGACAAGAAACAATTTGAGAAGTTTTAAATGTCTTTGTCTACTTCTGCTTGCAATAAAATAATATTCTGATCAGAAAACAGAGTTGGCTTTTTGTTGTTATTGTTGTTTCTTCTCTTGACTGTGGTATTTTGTGAGTACAAAGCAGTAATTCACTGTGATTTGAGAATAGTCAGTGCACTTCCCAACTGTTGCGGCGAATAATAGTCTCCCTCGCAGCCGTTTTTTGGATGTCACGCAACGTTGCGTGACATCCCAAAAACGGCTGCGGGGGAGACTAGGCGAATAACGGCACGCCATAACATTTCCAGATGAAAACAAACTTAAATTACAAATCCTTCAGGAGGCGTTGGTGAAACTCACAAATGCAGTAGAAGATTACAATGACATGTAGAGAGTACATTTCTAACAAGGAAGAGTCGTGGACTTGAATAAAACTCCTAACAAGAACTGCGAAAACTTGTGGTTTTTACTCGGTGGCCTCGTGCGGGCCGTTGGAAGGCCATCTCCACTCACCCTCAAACTTAATGCACAGGCTCACCATCTTAATACCCACAGGACACCCAAACTCGAAGAATGACCATAGTAATAAATAAGTAAGTAAGTAATAAAATATTTATATAGCGCTTATACTTTTCAGTGCTAAGCGCATCGGCAAGTTCGAAGTAATTATAAGGATTTGTGTGGGAAGAAAAGGTGCTTTCTGTAACCTATAAAAATTAATGTGAACGGATTTAAATAAAATCGGCTATGCTCACGTAAAATGCGTGTTTCTTCTTTCCTGTGTAGTTCCTGAGCCGATTTATGGTCATTTAGGGGGGGCTTTTATTCGGACAGGTTTGTTTTCTTTTTAATCCTTTCCCCAAAAGAATAGTCGATTTCATTTAGATCCGTTCACATTTGTAGCTTACAGTAACAATGAAGGAAAGCATTGCAATAATAGGGAAAACGCACTGTAGTTTATTTTAAGATTCGTCTTAGTTCTATTTCTTGTTACAATATTAGCTTTTTCTCCATTTAATAGAGTTCCTTTCTTCCACTTAGTGCCTTGATATTGTCCTCAAAATGACTTCTTTTCAAATGTTTTGAGAGTCACTAAAATCCCCTAGGTTTTGTGGCTTAACGTAGCCCGCTTAGTTGGCGGTATTTGTTCCATTATCTCGAATGTGCTAAACCGTTTCGGATTCCACAAGCAAACATTTCCCAGATTTCCTTTCATGGGGCAAAAGGAGCTAATGCATTCCATGAGGTAAGCTGAGGGTAAGGTCTCACCTCGCCATCTTACTACAGAGTAGCTTTTCCTGTTTAGGGACGGACCATTAGAACACTTAAGGGGAGGGGGAGGGCGAACTACAGAAAAAGTATTAGCGCAAGGGAAAATTAAATGAAACAAAAATTCTTGCACGCCAATTAATCCTAAAAAAATATTTATGCTATGGCCTAAAAAAATTCAAACAAGGAATTTGATAACGAAAAAAATTCCTGCGGCTCAAAAATTCCCCTTCCCCCCCCCCCCCCCCCCCCCCCCCCCCCC